TGCTGCTTGCTGCTTGCTGCTTGCTGCATGCTGAGGCTGTGGGAGAAATGGGGTCCAGCAGCCTTGTAAAGGAGCATGGACAGACCAGCAGAAAGATGTCAAATGCAGAGACAAAAGACTGTGTCCAGGGAGGGGGTAGAGCGGAAAGCTATGGAAAGTAGAGAGGGTGAGAAACTTTCCTTTTACTCTCCAGTTTCTGAGAGAATCTTAGCTGTACATCTTGCAGCTACACTGTTCTACGACGTGTCTTTGCAATCGCTTGCTAAGCATCAGAGAGCTGGACAATGACTAGGGAGGATAGAAGGAGAATTGATACTTTTAAGCTGTGGTACTGGAGAAGAGTATTGAATATGCCATGGACTGCTAAGAAAATGAACAGGTTCACCCTGGAGAGGGTTAAACCAGGCAGCTCCTTGGAGGCAAGGATTCTGAGGCTCCGTCTAACATACTTTGGACATGTTGTAAGGAGGGACCGGTCCTTGGAGAAGGACATCATGCTTGGGAAGGTGGAGGGACAGCACAGGAGAGGAAGACCCTCTATGAGGTGGATTGATTCAGTGACTGGGGTAATCAGAATGGGAGTGTCAGAGACAGTGCAATTGGCACAGGACAGAGTTTAGGGCTGTTGTACATAGGGTCGCTATGAGTCGCAAGCGACTCGATGGCACATAACAACAAGAACAATGATATGAGCAGCCCTGATCAGATGCAGATATCCCCTCAGGGGTGTGGCCTACAATAGTATGGACTCTGGCAAAGCTAGTTATCTTTCGGCTTCATTTGTATCTGGTTTATTACCAGAGATCCAACTCACCAATGGACTTTGCACTCATCACCTTCTGAAGCCAGCAACTATGCCCCTGCCTGCCAACCTTAGACTTGTCAGCCTTGGCAGATGACTCTCTCTTGAAGTCTGGCCCACAGACTTGGGAATTGACCACCTCTGCAAGCCCCTGACACAAAAGGATGGCACGGGATAGGATGGGGATCAGGTCTGTTGTTCACAGAGTGGCTATGAGTACTGCTGTACTTGAGGAGTCTAACAAGAAGCCCCTGGCTTGTTGTTGTTGTGTATTGAGGTGACACTGACCCATAGCTGACCTTCTGGCTGGTTTTCAGAGGCAGTAAGTTGCATGGGAGATTACCCATCCTTTTCCCGAAGAGCAGCTAATGGATTTGAACTGCATGCCTTTGGGATTGCTGCACAACTTCTTGCCACTAGGACACCAGAGGGAGTTTTGGTGGTTGAGGGGCAGAGAACTATACTGTCAACAGTACAGTTTGAATCTACCACTTATGGAAGGAAGATGGGAGATCCACTCCTGTGTGATTTACTGTCTCTGAAAACCTGGAGGGTCAGCTAGGAGTTGGTTTCAACTCGAGGGTACATAACAACAACACTAACACAAGCCCCCAAACCATTTCCTTGAAATAAACACTTTTCTCTCTTTATTTATCCAGAAGGCAGGAGTTGGTAGGATAGGAAGATGAACAGAAGTATCAACCCCAGTAACTCATTGCCATTGAGTGGGAAAGGATTCATAGACAATCCTCTACTGGGTTTTCAGAGGTTGTAAATCATACTTGGAGCTGCTGGTGGAGTTAAACTGCCTGCCTTTGAGTGGCCAGTGAAACTCCTTACCCACTAGGCCATCAGAACCTAGCTTAAAGGATTTGATGTCATTTTTACGCAATTGTCCTTCATTCTTTCCACACACTCTGCACAGTCACATGGCTAGCTAGCTGTCCCCTCCTCTTAGGTGGTCACCAGGAAGGATCCTGAGCTTAGCAGCACAAGTGATCCACGTCTCTGGTGACAATGCAGTCTAATCCATTTCCAATATCCAGTACCTTTACCCTTGAAATGGATACCTCCCATGAAGTCTATTAGCGCAGCTTAATTTCAGTGATATCATTTAACGCACATTAAGAAGTCAGTAGGCAGGTAAAGTGCAACATCTTCAGAAACCTACTTAGAACCATAGATTTTTCAGAGCTCAGGCCAGTAGTTCCTAGTCTTTCAAGCTTCTGTGAACAGCTTATTTAAAAACTATACACGAGGGCTTGCCAAATTTCTCTTCTCCCTCGGGAAGGCCATTAAAAACAAGATGCTTTTTTAACACAGCATCATTTCATAAAATAAAGGCCACATTAACACCAAAAGTTATTGGGAACATTACCTTCTAATTTTAAAGCAAAATAAAGCGGGCTTCTTGAAAAATTAATGATAATTTTATTTTTAAATGGAATAAGACATGTCCAGTACTTAACACTGTGCCAAGGCCATGATAAATTCTCAGTAAACATTACAATCGTTGTAAGTAATAAATGTATCAATACAAGGAACATGTTTTTCTTTTATATTTGCAAAAGGTTTGCTGAGCAACTCTGTAGTCCTGGAGTGGGCTATTTCAGGGAGCAAGTTTTGCCAGGGATGGGAAAGTCTCTGTATAATGAATGGGAGGGATTTGGGATTCCCAGTGCAAATCTGAAGAGTGACAAGGACTCGGAAGGAGGAGAAAAGAGGGAAGAATTATTGAGATGGAATGGCAGATTGAGCACTCACTTCCACCAAGACCAGGACTTCTCTTGTTTAAGCAGGAGGTGGCTGAATAATATTTTAAGATCCAGGGTGGGTCATATGCAGTTTAAAGCTTTTGTATCTCAGTTATGTGAACACTTCTTTCTTTCTTCTCTGCACACCTCCTACCCTCAGCTTCTCTAATAGTTACACGCAGTGATGGCTGAGTGTTAGAGGCACGGGTGTGAGAGAGAGAGAGAGAGAGAGAGAGAGATCCAGAAACCCAATGTGCCAGTTAACTCTGCCCTGCAGGACCACTATAAGTTGGTGTGTGACTTGCCCCATTTGTGTCAACAGAGTACAAAACCAAGACAAGAGTCCCAAATCAGAGACCAGAAGACAAAAACAACGAGGTGGACAGAAATGGTCCCAGAAATCCTATGATTTTAGATTTCTATAGCATATGGAGTGGGGAGTTTGCACCTAGTTCCTCATCAGACACTTCTTTTATGATCTGTAGACAATGAAGACATTCTCACAGCTGGACACAAGGGCTCAGAAGATGAACCTGGTTCCAAGGGCCTGCACCTGCCCCAGCTGTGTTAGAACTCTGCTTTTGTTCTGAATGACCAAGATTCAGGAGAAGGACTAGCTTGCAGATCATACAGGAGGGGAAAAGAACCCTTTGCTGCCTCTTAGGGCCAGAAAGAATGCAGCCTGATTTTAGATGTGGATTATACGGTCAGAAAGACTTACATATTTGTGATGCAATAACCAAGTAGTCAGAGGGTCTGATGGGTAACAATGTTGCCTGGCAACCTGATTTCATTAATGGTCTTGACTTCGGTTGGGAAGTTACCCAGAGCAAATTTCCCTGAAGATTTCCCTAAACCTAAACCTAACCCCTCGCCACTCCCAACCTCTTCAACCTGCGCAACAAGGAACCAAAAGGCAGCCCCACGTAGACTAAAGCAATTACCACTTAATGGTGCAGTGTACTAACCAAATTGTTGTTATGTTCCTTTAAGTTCAATACAACTAATAGCAACCCTATAAACAAGAGATCTGCAACCTGCCCTATCCTGTGCCATCCTCGCCATCTCTGACACACTTGAGCCCTTTGCTACATTGTGTCAATCCCTTTCTTTGAGGGTCTCCCTGTCTTACGCCAACCCTCCACCTTTCCAAGCACCATGTCCTTCTCCAAGGGCGGTCCCCTCCTAACAGCATGCCCAAGAGCTTAAGTTTATTGTTAGGCAAACTGGATAGAAGCCATTGTGGGATTCCAGGAAAAAGCCTTAACCTCTCTGTCCCAGTATTTGCCCCTGCAAAAAGGGTAAATAAGTCGAATCCATTGCTGCGGAGTTGATTCCAACTTATAATGACAGAGTAGAACTGCTCCGTTGGCTTTCCAAGGCTGTAATATTTATAGATGCAGATCTTGAGGTCTTTCTCCTGAGAAGCTGGCAGGTAGGAACCAATGCGCCACCAAGCGCCTCCTGTAAAATGAGGAGGGGCTCACAAGATAGCTGCTTCACAAAGGGACCATATGGCAATACATTCCGCTGCACGGAACAATGATCCATTGTTCCTCTTCCTTTCTTCTGGCAAATTGATCTCACTCGTTATTCGTGGTCCTGGCCCTAGTACTCACTTCTGTCTTTAAATCTTGAATATCGGTGTTAAAACTCCAGTCTGCACCTTGCTCTTTACCCTGCTCCTCCTCTTTCCCACCGCCCACCCTCCAGAGCGCAGAGCGTCAGCAGGTTAGACTGATGGTCAGCGATGGCTGCTGTGTCCAGGCAGTCCTCTCGTCCTCCGGTCGGGACATCTTCTGATCGTATGCGGCGCTGTCTCGCCGAGAAAGTGGCCGCCACCCCTTCTTTCTCCAGGAGCGCGATGGGCAGGACCTCACTGCAGCAGAGGTAACAGACCACGGCCAAGCAAGGGAGATGGGAGCTGCGGGAAACAGCAGCATGACCAGGATCAATAACGTCCCAAGCCGAGTGCACCGGCCTCTTCTTCTAGCCAGTGGCCCCAGTGATCGTCCCTGACCCCCAAACGAGCCTCCAAAAAGTGCCAGCCACGTGGACCTCCGCGCGCGCGCGCGCCACCTGAAAAGGGAATGTTGGCGCTGGGGGGCGGGGCTGCAAGGGCGCCCAGGCGGCGAAGAGGGGCCTGCGTGCGCGCGCCCAGGAGCCGGCGGCCAGG